GAACCGACGAGCAAACGAAATACCGTGACTAACAGTAGGGAAAATGTGCTCTTAAGAGAGGAACCTGAAAAGGATCTTTGATTGTGGTTTAAGCTTAAATATATGTCGTATAATAACTACCCTACAATCGTTTACTTGATAGGCTTGGGATTGTAATTAACTGTATTATAAGATGCCTATAGGTGTAACTTTTAAGAGAGAAACAGATAGCAAGACCGAAAGTCAATCCTGATGTACTTCTTGAACATAAATAACATAGTAAGATGTATGTAATATTAAATAGCGTAACATATGATTGAATGCGCATGGAGAACCTTGTGAATGTCAGGCGTGCTGAGACCGGTCCCTATTAGCTGTTAAGGATTTGAATTGTATTCGTTTGTTCGTAATGAAGGCCGAGTGATGCTTCGATGTCTGATATGAAACAAGTGGGAATTCTGGTTTACCCTGTCTTTATTAGATTGCTAATGCTTTAACCTGCATTGCCTTGTATAATTGATGTAGACAAAATAATTAGGTGACAGTATGCGTCAACGTATGTAATTTAGAACTCAATGTACTGAAATGCCCCTAATGGGCTGCAGAGTAATAACAGTATATCTGTAATGAATAAATCTGGAAGCAGTTACTATATATACCTAAGCGTATTGAGGACCTGGCTATGGTCTGATACAAGGCCTGAATATGTACCACGTGTAAACGTAAAAGACAGCGTGTGGCCAATATACGTATTTAACGGAAAATATATGTAAGAACAATATGCCTGAAACAATTGTAGGAGGAAACCGCTGATCTTGGTTTCTACTACATTGATATGGGCACCTAGTGTATGTGGTATAAAAGGATCGCAAAGTGAGTGACAAGTTGGGGAAACATGTATATCCTTGTACTCATCCTTGTACTGCTATATCTAATTATGTAGGAGACCCTTAGCCCGTAAGTGATTGACGTATTAAAAGCCTGGATTGCCTTGTATGATAGTTCAGACATACGGTTTGTATTACGGTAAGGATATATAAACTCACCATCGAAACTAAAGTTATAACGATGCGGGAAATAATCCGCTAGGACACCTGATCTGATTATCAGATATGAAACGTAGTGGTTATGCATGGCGGGGTCTGCAGGTGTGGTCCCCCAAGTACTACGGGTGTGTGTGTGCTGGCTGACTAGCTAGTGCCGCAATGCAGCGAAACGATTACTCTAGGTTGGTGACAGGTGAGGCCCTGCTAATTGCCAAGTGGCTTGAGAGGCTCTACCTATGCGTTGGCGCGAGGGGATAGCGTGGCCACTGAACGTTGTGGCGGGGTGTCGGCCTCTCGGTGACAGTTAAACATAAGACAGAATGGGAGTGACAGGTGAGGCCCTCTCTATGCCACAATGCGAGGCGACTGACTATGATTTGGCCCGAGGGGCGTAGTACCTCCGAGTATGAGGATGGGTGTTGGCCTCGCGGGACCACTTAACCTAAGGCGAAGAAGCCAGGGGGAATGATAACTAGTGGACACCTAGGAACCTGACAGCCAGCCATTGCTACTTAAGAGGGACGGTTAGTTTGTGAGAGAGAGGACATACCATTGGATGAAAACATGAGTGATAATAAAGTAGAATTGTAAGGCTGACCGTAACTGGAGTGCGCTGTGAGCACTTCGGGTCCAGATGGTCAATACGTATAAACTACAATTCACGTATGTATGTATGTATGGCCCTCGTGGCTCGTGTTTTATTTTATTTATTTATTTATTTCCCCTCTACCATACTATTTTAGTCATGAATGGTATCCATTTAGCGGAATTTAGAAGCAGTGTAACAGTTGCAACGATTACAACTGTAATTTAAATGGTACTCATCGAAGATAATGTGCGGGTAATTTGATTTGCCTGGACATTGTGTGGGGTGTACTCGGTAGCGGCTCACTGCCCGAATCAACCCTAATGACTGTCCCGTAGTTTTAGGGTTTGTGTGAGTGAATGCATGCTGATCGTCAGCGGGTTTGTACAATGGTTGGAGAAATATCAATCTGAGTATAACACCGTTACTAGTTTAGAATAGGTTGAGAAACCACCAGTACAATTATCCCTATCATGGGACTGCTACGTGTAGTGAGAGCATAAGAATGACAGTAACAGACATGATATTACAGGGGTTATTATAGGATGATACAGATTGTAAGGTATCAGCATGGGTTTAAGTTTTACTACCAAGAAAGACTGCCACATTGTTAAAGTGGGTGAACACAGTTACTCAGGTTAGACTTATGTAACTTATCTTTCTTCAAAGAATCTTTTTTTTTTTTATCCCATCCTGTAACAGCATTCATTGCTTTGTCTTAAAGGAGCAGTATATGCCAGTTTAAACTGCTGCCACTTTCTACCAGTGCCCAGCGCAGTGTGTGGAAGGTGAGCAACGTTACGGCTCAGCTGCTGTAATTCTAGTGTCCCGGTGACATCACTGCCAGCCCCTGCCCTGCCGGTTCGGTGTCTCCGCCGGTGTGCGGCTGGTAGGGGGCAGCAGGGAGGCAGATACCGGGGCTAAGCCCGCAAGCCTTCTCCAGTCCCCAGTACAGATCATGGCTCCGGCGGTGCGGACCGTGGACACGGTGTCGGAATTTACAAGCTGTGTGAGTGTTTAGTCGCTTCCCGGGGATTTTTTTTTTTTTTTGTTTTTTTTTCTGTAGAGATTAAAACTAAATAAAACTGGGGGACATAAAGTAATGAAAGAGCTGGAGCTTAAGAGGATGGGGATAATGAATAGGAGTTCAAAGACGTATTACCGGTCTGTAAAGCGGCTGGGTTTAAACACTGTGCATTTTAAATTAAACATATTTATTTGCTGATGTTTGAGCAGTTAAAATGAATCTAAGCATTGTTGTGTTGATTATTGTAACAATATATTCTGATTGTAACATGTGCATGTTACTGTGTAATTTGTATGAGTAGAAAAATGGATTAGAAGGAAAACAAAGTGCCCTTGGTTGTTTGAATGACTCGACCCTGTTAGGGGAAGCTGCATAGTAGAATAGTAAGTGGTATTTCTCCTGGGGCTGTACGGTAGTCCTGCCTGCTAGACCGACTTTGATACCCCTAGGGACTGGGGGGGTATTCATTAGGGAGATGTGACAACCGAGACCCAAGATTGGGAGGTGTGATATTCATGTGGTCCTGAGATTAACCTTTATGCCCGGGCAAAAGTGCGAACAAGATTCAGTGGCAAGAAATCGTAAAAGAAAAGATATATATGTGTATATTTGCCACCTGTGGTTGCGGTCTCCTACATGAGATTGTATATACGTTTAAAGAAAGAAAAAGTCGAACGGCGTGAATATACCGAACGCGGCTTTTCTCGCCGCTTACCTGGTGTTCGTTAGTTTGTGCGTGTCTGTGCGAACAGAGGTTGGTGGGAAGCCGCAAGGTATGACGGGACCGGAAGTGCGATGCCTGTTGAGGACCCGGAAGTGTGATGCCTGTTGAGGACCCGGAAGTTGGGAGGCGAGCAGGCCAGAACTTCCAGACGGCGACGATAGGTAAGCTGGGGTTACTGGGGATTTAAATAGGAAAATAACCCCTCCCACAAATTCAGGCATACGCCTTCCACATATATATATATGTGTATTACGTATTAAATTCAGAGCACAAGTAGAAAGGCCATTAGGCCTGACTTTGTGGGAGGAGTAAGCCTCCTACTTAAACTCCCAGCCCCTACTCAACTCTGCCAGTCAAGTTGATTGTCCCCACCCACCTTAACCCTTATAGCATTACAACTCTCCTTGGTGGGCCCTCTTTTATTTACAGGCCCACTCGTACGTTGGTTTTCGGCACACCACAACCAACTTTCATCTCAGACACTATCCATTACGTATTAAATTCCGAGCACAAATATATATATATATATATATATATAAATTCATTCTAAGTGTATTTTGATATATATATTCACGTTTTACTGTTTTGAAACACTAATATTGGTGTTCAGCGAAGTCTCCAAAGTAAAACAGTGTGTATGTGTGTGTGTGTTTTTAATATATATATATATATATATATATATATATATATATACAATCATTTTCTTTAATTTTAAAATGTACATTTTTTTTATTTATTATTTTTAATTTTTTATTTTAATGAATTATTAATTAATTTTTTTTATAATAATATACATATACAATATATTGGGACTATTTCTATTGCTATATTAGCTTTGATTTTTATTTTAAAGATACAAAACACTTTTCAATATATATCAATTAAAGTTTAATTTCTTAATTAGAATTGCACTGGATTATTTTTTATACTGTTTTGGAGGTTTTTGCTGGATGGTTTTTGCAACAGGCTGGTGTATGTGCACCCCAAGCTATAACTCTCCAATTTAGTAATGAACAAGTGGAAGAGATCCTATGGAACACCACGAGCTTAGAGATGCCAACCACAACTACTTTGCGTAACATATATTTTAAGCTTCTGAAACGTAAAGAAAGAGGTGGATTTAGATCTCCATGGCATATTCCTATCGGATTATTATAGAGCCAAACACATTCCTAGAGGATTTAGAGTACATAACATCCTTACAATTGGCAGAATTAAGCCAAGGGACATCTGTTTTAAATAAATGCTCGTTGGATCTCATGCTTATTACGATACAAGATGTCAGAGAGGACTTATTGGAGGTTAGAAAAAAGATAAAACTTTTGGAAAAATGAACATGCACTACTACTGAATTCACAAGAGGGTGCAAACATACAGCTGAAACTTAATGAAGAAATTTTGAACTATAAAGACCAATTAATCAAATTTAAAAGGCAGAAAATGGAAATAGTCCAACAGGACTACAAGGAAAAGTCAGTGTATACATGACTGTCGGGAGAATATAAAGGCTGTCCTTGAAGATTCCGAAAGAAAATTGTTAAACCAAACATTACGACTATTGATATTACTTTGGGTGAATCTGCATCAGAGGGAGAAGGATCTCAATCTGGAAGAGCAGTATATTTTTTAGACAAGGACACGACAGAGGAAACTACAACACCTCCAAGAGCAATAACCGAAAGCAAATTCAATAACGTAAAATAACAATCCCTAGACGTGGTCAGGGTGGACGGGAAGCCACCAATACGCAGATAATTCCTGTCTTCAACTTTTTTAATTAGGAAATTAACCTTGAAAGAAATTGAAATTTTAAGTAAAGGTCTCTCCTTAATACTGGCGACTCCTCCAAATCACTTTCAGTGGAATGTTGAATTGTTTAAATTTGTCCGTACATTAAGGTTTAAAGACTATTTTAAGACATTTTGCTCCTTACCGGTGAATCCTGAAATATCAAAGTCAGTATATAAATAAGTCTTTTGATCCACCTTCAAATCAAGTGGCTATTAAATCTTTTCTTGCAACTGTCAAAAATGAAACAGATTCTATGCTGCTTAAACAGAAACCCAAAATCTCAAATCTATCAGGAGAACAACACAACATTATCCAGGGGTTGGTTTCCGATCCCACAATTGTCATACGTTCAGCGGACAAGGGTGGAGGAATTGTAATTTTGAATTACTCAGGTTATTCCAGTGAGATCAAACGACAATTAAAGTATAAAAAAACTTACCGACTCCTAGAGAATGATCCCACAAAGCAGATTGATCAGAAAATTGAGGATATACTCTCACTTGGTTTAAAAGCAGGTTATATTGATCTCGATTTATTTCAATTTCTTAAAAAAGAAAACCCCCACGCACACCTATTGTATGCACTTTACTGAAGAACCACAAAAACCTTAAAAATGCCTGCGTTTGGAAGGGACGGGCGATGGCCTCCAAATATAAAAATAGTATATAATATATGGTCAGATCATAGTTATTTGAAGTAAAACATTCTCTCAGGAAAAAGTAGAACAATGTGGAAACTAAACAGTTTTTTGTTGTACAATAAGAATAATAGAGATAAATTAGAAAGGCTAATTGATTGCTTTTTTAAGGAGAACGATCCCTCAGATACATCTTTTTTGACGACATGGTGTACTTTTAAGGCGGTCTTACGAGGATATTTAATTAAACTGAATCATGAATCTAAAAACAGGAGAAAAATCTATCTGACCTATATATCTTTTTGTATAAGCTATCTGCAGAACATAGGGTAGACCCTAAGCCTGAAAAAGCCAGGGAATTTATAGCTACACAGGATAAAATCTTCCAGTGTCTAAATAAAAAAAACATTAATTAATTAAAACTTAAGTTCTACTGCTGGGGCAATAAAACTGATAGAATGTTAACTAACAAGCTTAGAAAAAAACAAGTCAACTCGCGAGTAACAAAATCGTCTATAGCAATAAAACATTTACAAATCCTAAGGATATTGGAAATTGCTTTAAAGAATATTATGGAAAATTATACAATTTCCCTGGAGATACTCCACTAAACACTATAAATCAATATTTGATCAAAACAAATCTTTTAAGGATTGATAAAATGCAGTCATTCAAACTTAATAGACCTGTCAATGCAGAAGAAGTAGAAATTTCTATTTCCAAACTGCAAAAGTCCAAGACACCTGGACCAGATGGATTTACTAATTTGTTCTTTCACACATATAAATCACAGCTGAGCAATCACTTGGCCATAACTTTTAATAACACAGTTCAGATAGGTAGCTTCCCTGAAGAAATGACTAGAGGCAATGTACACCCTATTTTGAAACAAGGAAAAAATCCCACGGAAGTCTCTAGCTATCATTCCCTTTCCATAATAAACACGAACGTTAAAATATTTTCATCCATCTTAGCAACACGCCTTAAGGACATAATTAGGAAATAAATCCATAATGATCAAATTGGTTTTATAACAGCTAGATAGTCTGGTTCCAACACAAGAAGAATCATTAATATTCTTGATAGTTCTAAAAAGAAAAACATACGGCTCTTGTCTATAGCTATGGACACTGAAAAAGTGTTTGACAGGTTAAGCTGGAAATTCCTTGAACGAGTGTTAGAATTTTATAAAATTAGTGGGTGGATGCTAGATGCAATTATGTCATTATATAAAAATCCCTCAGCTAGAATGGTTGGGCCAAATATTTGCTCAGATTGGGTTACAATAAAAATTGGGTCAGACAAGGATGCCCACTGTTGCCATTGTTATATGTATTATCTATTGAACCATTAGCGATGAACATTAGAAATAACTCGAGAATAAAGGGTTTCATGATGAGAGATAGCGAACTAAAAATCTGCTTGTCCGCAGATGATATCCTGCTTACAATAACTGACTCAAATAATTATTTAGAGAATTTAAGGACTATAGCCAGGTAGCAAACTATAAGATAAATTATGCTAAAACTATTTTGATGAGCACTGGGCTAGATAACGACACAACGGAGGAGATCAGTAAAAAATATGTTTTCTTTAGGGGCAGGAAGAAGGTTCAACTATTTGGGAATTTGGATCACCAAAAATTTGGATAGACTGATGGAAGATAATGTTGTAATGTCTTTTGAAAATAACAAATCAATTACTTAAGGATTATAGGCATATAGAGATAACATGGTGGGTACGGATTAACGTTATCAACTCATATATTATACGCAAATGGAATTACTTACTCCAAATGATCCCTTTCAAAATCCCAGATAGTTGGTTAATGATACTTCAAAATAATATTGAAACCTTAGCAAAGGGAAAAAACTCAGAATAAATAGTTTTATCTCTTAAACCAACAGACGGGGTTCTAAATTTTCCAAGCATGAGATTTATTTACTGGGTGAATAAAATAACTCATATTTATAGAACCCAGCTACAAACCACCTTAGAAGAGGATTGGTACAAAATTGAAATGGAGGTCTAAAGGACTCCTCCTGTCTTATCTTAAAAATTTAAACAATGGAATTGCTATTAAAAACAACAAAATACTGGGGGGTGGTGCCTAGCTTCCAGGCTGAGTGGATGTGCCAAGACCTAGCTCCTGATTAAATCCACGATTTTGGGGGAAATTACCCCAAATATTTGGCACAGACATGCTTTGGATGGCGATAGCCGTGCTGGGGACACCCGGGCACACTCCTGGACACCCAAATCAGCTTGCTAACCACCCGGGAACCCAAAAACAGTCAGCTGAGGCCTACAGGAAAACGAGGTGGGGAGAGGTGGCCGCTCTCCTCACTTGTACCCTGATAAAGGACTACCTCAACACTCAACTCTCCTACTCCCCCCCACCCCTGGGACCGGTGGGCGATATCCCGGTCCTTGCTAGTTGTCCGGAGCTACCTGTCTGAACCAACCCTTGAACAGCTGGTAAGCATCAGAACCAGCGACGCACGAGGCATACCTAAAATGGCGGCAGAGTGCTCTCAACGAATGCTGACCAAGCCTACAAATCATAAGCACAGTTATGACCACAATGCTGATATCATGCAGCGTATCGACAACATTTTTAACATCTTTTGGGAGAAGCTCCAGAAACGCACACAGACAGCCATGATGGGGTGACAAGACTCCCTGGAAGCGGGTGAGAAGAGTCACAGTCAGCCGGGGGAGAGGGGGCCACCCTCGGGCGCAGCACCCGACAAAGAATCAATACTCACTCACCCTAGCCCACCCGGGCTGAAGGCCAAGAGGGTTCCAACCCAAAAGCATCGACCACACAGATGGCAGCCCAAGCGCCGTCAGCGGCAACTCACCACCAGGCTTCCCGACACTGCCTCACGGAGATTCAGTGGTAAGGAAATGTGGGCCTCTATCTCAGCCTGGGGCTGGAGGGATACCCTCACTCACACCCGTGCGGCAGCAACCCCCCGCGACCCATCAGAGGGCATCGGCTACCTCCCGACAGAAGGGTTCGGATGAGGTGACAACACAGACTCTCCTACGACCCGAACACTCTCTCCACCGGGTTCCCGTGCATGTAACGCGGCTATAATTTCTCACATATTTTCACTCTTGATTTTTATTCTTGCTTTATTTTATTTCGCACACTTAGGGTTTAGCATGTTCCCCTTATACTCTACTAAATGCTCTGGACAGCAGCGACTGGTATTCTTCCACGTAGCCTGTTATGACAAGCAAATAGTCTTTACCAGCATAACCTGTTCTCGATAAGACATACTCACAGACCAGATAGTAATATGCATTTAAGTCGACAGCAACAGGCTACCACTACCAGCATGTTTAAACAAACATCATTTATCTAGCAATACTTAACGTAATTACTATGATTTCTATTATAAAATTGTGCATGACTCATCTAAGAACGACTTAATCCTGTTTCTATATATAAAAGTGCAATGTTTTTGATGCTATACTACTGTTATCGCATGTCTACATATTTGTTTGCACCAGCTGTTGTGGCAGTGCAAATCTGCTTGTTCACTCTAGATATGTGCAATTCGTTTCTGGCCGAATATATATTAGGACGAACTTCGGGAAATTCGGACATTCGGCTACTTCCAAATATCCGAATTGCCGAAGTGCTGAATTGCCGAAGTGCCGAATTACCGAGGTCCCGAAGTTCCGAAATTACTGAATTTCCGAAGTGCCGAAGTTGCTGAAGTTCTGAAGTGCCAGATTGCCGAAGTTCCAAAGCACAGTTTTGCCTAAGTACTAATATACTTACCCAGTGGAAGAATAAGAAGGTTACAATTTTAAATAAAAAGTATACAAACATAGCCAGAATTCAGCTGTAAGCATTTGCAACACTTACAACAATCAAGTAACACACATTCACATAAAATGTAAGTTACTTAACAAGTCATTGTAATGACAGGAATTAATAAGTAGATAACTCCCTAATTCCCACAGTATTAGGGAGCGAACTATTAAAAGGCTGAAAGACCTAAATTGGTCTTTCAGCCAAATTTACTAATACTAAGTGAAGATTACTTAGTATTAGTAAATTATGCCCCTATTCGATATATGGAGTGTAGGGGCATGTCTATTAAACAGTGAGCAGCCTCCTCCCCCTCTTAACCTGAAGGGGGGACCTATTGCCCCCCCCGGCCTCCACCCCTGAACGGCGGGTGGGGGCCTTAAATTAGAATGAGGACCTAATGTCCTCCCCCCTGGCCCCCACCCCTGAGCGGTGGGTGGGCGCCCTAAAAACTAATTGGGGGGGAACCTAATGTCCTATCCCCTGGCCCCCACCCCTGAGCGGTGGGTGGGGGCCCTAAATACTAATTAGGGGGGGACGGACCTAATGACGACGCTCAGGGGTGGGGGCCCTAAATTAAAAAAATAACCCCCCCCGCAGGTGACTAGGGGTCCCAAAAACCCCTAGTCACCCCCTCCCCTAAAAAATTAACCCCTACCTACCCCCCCTCACCCTAAAAATAATGAGGGGGGGCCATTTAACTAAGTACATGAAAAAAAAAAAAAAACTTACCATTTGATGTTTTCTTTCTTCTAAAATCTTCCTTTTTCAGCCCCAAAAAAAGCCAAATAAA